CTATGGAGTTGGAACGTTAGTGGTGTCCTGTTGAAGGGTATAGAATGACTCAAGAATCCTGATGCAGACAGTTTGTTGACTTCAGTATAAAAATCTCCACTGATTATTGATACGCTTGAGTGGCTAGTCTTTGACACTTCCTCTCTTCTTCCCATGTTCCTCTTTCCAAAGATGCACAGTTTCCATAACAAAGCAAAACAAGATTTAACAAGATCTTTGGATACAGGCATTCTGGGCGAGGTGGTCAAGAGAATACCTGTGGCACTGCTGCGGCTTTTTCAAACTTAGAATCATTTTAAAGCTTTTAAATTTGTTTTTAAAAGCCTTTCTATGGACTGTTGCAAACTCGCCTGGAACGTCTGGACCCCATTTCTCAGAGAGAGGCAAGGAAGAGAAGGTGGCAGAGAAGACACCTGTGCTGCTACAGATAATGGAATAGCTCTCCACCCCAAAAATGGGGAGGGGAAAGAGGGATGGGGGGGGAGAGAGAGAGGAGGAGAAGAAATGGGATGGAAGGAAGAGAATAGCCGTGTTGCTGCTATTGCCACAAAGAGGAGTCTATGGCACAATCTCTTGTGCCAGCCTTGAATCTCAGAAATAAACGGTTAGCAAAAGATTAACCGTTCCAGAGAATTAAAACAAAAGAGAGGTGTATTTACTACTGTTCAGTGACTGGGAGTCAGAAATCCTTGCCTTTCAATCAGCCAGAAGTTTACTAGTAGAAACTATTCTACCTTGTGGCCACTGATGCCCAAGGCAAATTGTACACCTGTTCTGCCCTACCCAATTCCATTGCTTATTCCACCATGACACTCATATTAAAAATGCAACACTGGTTAAAACACTTTTAACCACTTATAGACATCAGTCCACCTGCCTCACTACAGCATGTCAACAAGCTGTCCTTGAATCTTTTTTTATAAAATTCAACGTATGCGCCACAGAGTTTTGAAATAAATTTAGGGATGGACGGATCAGACTATTTCAGGCCCAGATCAGTTTCTTATAGATTTTTCATAAATCCATTTCATCCTGTTGTCACAGTATTTTGCAACCACACATTAAACAAGAAAGCACAGTTCATATTAAAATCTGCAACGATCAAATTCCTCAGCCATCCCCAAGCATATTTCCTTGCAATGGATGCAAAATTTAGTAGTGTTACAAAGTTCTTCCCACAACGGTTTCTTTATGATAATCCCTAGAAGCTGTTAATTTAGCTTCCAAAGTTTATACCTTCATTTCTCAGGAACTAGAGGACATAGCAATAGATATGCTACTTTTTCTTAGGTGGTTATTCATCTTTTTTTTTTTATTGCCAGGAAAATGGCAGGCAAGTGTCAAAGACACCTATCGGCTTTTGCCCTTGGTAACACAATTCCTTCCCTTTGCCATTTTGTGAACTTTTGGTTCTTCTTCTGCCGACTCCTATAAATATTCAGAGCTTTTGATTCCCTCCCCAACAAAGGCTATTTCTGGTCCCCTGCCATTCTGTGGAGCTTTTGCTCTTTAGATGTGTATGTTATGTGTATGTATTTATTTTTAGGCTGTGTCCTTCCCCATCCTCTCCTCCGAACTGTAGCACATACCTCTTCCTTCGGAAAATGAAAGGCAACAAATGGATTTCTCTCCATCTAGTATCTGTACAGGCTACTGGCAAAGGGCCCGTATTTACGCAAGTATTTTCTAAAAGGATATGCACTGAGGTTGGAGAAAGTGGACAGTAAAAACCTCTCTGTCATGATACTAGAACTGGGGTCCATCCAACGAAGCTGAATGTTGAAACTTAATTCAAGGCAGACAAAACAAAGTACTTCTTCATATAATACTTAAACTATGGAACAGTATACCTGAAGGAGCGTCTCCACCCCCATCATTCTGCCCGGACACTGAGGTCCAGCGCCAAGGGCCTTCTGGCGGTTCCCTCACTGCAAGAAGCCAAGTTACAGGGAACCAGACAGAGGGCCTTCTTGGTAGCGGCACCCGCCCTGTGGAACGCCCTCCCAGCAGATGGCAAAGAGAAAAACAACTACCAGACTTTTAGAAGACATCTGAAGGCAGCCCTGTTTAGGGAAGCTTTTAATGTTTAATAGGTTATTGTATTTTAGTGTTCTGTTGGAAGCCACCCAGAGTGGCTGGGGAAACCCAGCCAGAAGGACGAGGTAAAAATAATAAATTCTATTCTATTCACTGCCGCAAGAGGTAGCGATGGCCGGCAGCGGCATAGCGTGGGTTGTCAGCACCCAGGACAAGGCAAGTAATTTGCGCCCTCTAACCCGGGGCAAGGCAAGTAATTTGCGCCCCCTAACCCCTAACCTGCCGCCGCTGCCAGCTTCTTCTTGCTGCTGCCTGGGCTGGTCTGGTGTGGTTCTCTCCCGCGCTCAGCGCTGCGCTGGGCGGCCGCTGCACTGTCCCTCCCCCAGATAGTCCCTCGCTCGCTCTCCGCACCGCACGCCTGGCACCCACCCCCTCCACAGTGGGCGGCGACCCAGCGGCTCGGATCGGATTCGCACAGCCAGCACTGCAGTGAGAGAGGTGAGTGAGCCAGGTAGGGGCAGAGAGCTGCGAGTGCGAGCGCGCCCCCAGATGTTGCGCCCGGTGCGGCCGGCCCCCCCTGCACCCCCCACGCTACGCCACTGATGGCCGGCCACCAACCAAGATGGCTTTAAGATGAATTTGGCAAATTCGTGGAGGATAATAGCTTCTGACCATGGTGGCCAAGAATGAGTTCTAGTATGCCTCTTCTTTGAACACCCAGTTTCTGGGGAGTTCAAGTTGGAAGAGTGTTGCTACACTCCTGTCCTGCTTGCAAACTTTCTGTAGGCATCTGATTGGCCACTGACAGATTAGGATGCTGGACTAGATGGGCTTTGGTCTGATCCAGGAGGGGTCTCCTAAGGAGCTTTACATTGCTAAGAGAGAAAGGATCAGTATTTAATTGCTTAAAGAGAAGTGAAGTTTTTAAAAAAATATATATGGAAAGGCCCCAAACCACACATTATTATACAGATAACGGGAGTCTGGATATGTGCTTTCCCCCTAATTCATAGAAACACACAATCATTTCCCCTCGAACCACATGTTAGAAAGTTGTATTATAATGACTTCTGCACCTGCAGAATCCACCACCACCACCGTTACATGCTAGTTCTTAAAAATAGGGAAGGAAATAGGTGGGAAAAAACATCGTCATTCTGCTTAAGATGTGATCCTGCTTCCTTGGAAGTAAATCCTACTGAGATCAACAGAATTTACTTTTCAGGAAACGTGTTCAGGATTGGGTTTAAGGGAGCAATCTTCCAAAATTAAATGTATTGCTGTGGTATTGGCACTTTTCCATTCATTCTTTGGGGGAATTAATTAATTTGGGACCGCATGAAAGACGAATAGAGTTTCCATAATGAGTTTAATGCCCAAGAGATGCTAAGACCTGCATTCTGATTACTCGCTTTCCTGTCTTATCTTATGACCTGGACTTTATGCAGCCTGAAGGGAGCTCAGCATGATTAACAGGTTTGGTCTGATATAAGCAGCTGTCCATGCTAAACACTCATGGCATACAAGGAATGCAGTCACTATCTTTCCTTTCTTACTCTTCCTCCTCCTCCTCCCTTTGCCTTTTTGAATTCGTTGGCTGACCTGCTGTCAAATAACCCATGCAGCAATAATTCACTGAACTGAACTGAAAATTGCACAAAATTACAGTAGATTACAGATACTGCAGGAGGCGGCAAGACATTTCTCTACCCTGAAAAGTTTTGCCTATGGTGATTCATGCCGTTGAAGAATGCACATATGAAACTGGATGCATGAGAGTGTTCATTTTCTCTGTAAACCTTATAAAAAGACATAAGCGACAGGGCAGGACAGTGGTACCTCGGGTTACATACGCTTCAGGTTACAGACGCTTCAGGTTACAGACTCCGCTAACCCTGAAATAGGACCTCGGGTTAAGAACATTGCTTCAGGTTGAGAACAGAAATCGTGCTCCGGCAGCGCGGCAGCAGCAGCAGGCCCCATTAGATAAAGTGCTGCTTCAGGTTAAGAACAGTTTCAGGTTAAGAATGGACCTCCGGAACGAATTAAGTACTTAACCCGAGGTACCACTGTATTCTCAAAGGTGCAGGTTTATCATCTTCTTCTTCTTCTTCTGTTTTCCAATTTCAATGCCGCCTCAGGGCCGGCCCACCCATGAGGCCAAGGGAGGTGACTGCCTCAGGTGGCAGGGTCCCCAGGGCCAGCATATCCTGATGTCAATCTTTCCTCACCCCCTGTTCCTGATGTACAGTGGTACCTCAGGTTAAGTACTTAATTCGTTCCAGAGGTCCGTTCTTAACCTGAAAGTGTTCTTAACCTGAAGCACCACTTTAGCTAATGGGGCCTCCTGCTACTGCCGCACCGCTGGAGCACAATTTCTGAAGCAAAGTTCTTAACCCGAGGTACTATTTCTGGGTTAGTGGAGTCTGTAACCTGAAGCGTATGTAACCTGAAGCGTATGTAACCACTGTCATCCACCCTGTCTTCCCTGATGGGAAGGGGAGGGCACCTTGGGGGCCGAAATGTCTTGGGCCAGCCCTGTCCAGTGCATCTGAGGTTAGGGAGTACAGGGCAGTGGCACATGCAACTCTCCCTGAAACCCGCTGCAGCCCCCTCACATTGCCCATGGTAGAGCTCTAGGCCCCCCAAGTAGTGGTTCCTCCCACCTCTCCCCATCAGCAAAAAGATCTCCCACTCCCCAGTTCACTTTCACGACATTTGTGCAAAGGGAAAAGTCCAGGTCTCCTACCGTAACTGCTCCCCTGTAAGCAGGACCTCGGCCATGTGCTCCAGCTCGGTCGCTCTCTGCTGCATGGTGCCCAGGCTGCTTTCTTCCATCTCGCCACTAACCTGGCCAGGTGCACACAAGAGCCAGAAGGTTAACAGGGAGCAGATTTGGATTCCTTCCTCAGCCTCTCCAGTGCTCAAAGCTGCCGCTTTGCAATCTAACCTCCCAAACACCAGTTTGCTCAGTTGGTTAGGGCGTGGTGCTGATAACGTCAAGGCCGTGGGTTTGATCCCCACATGGGCCACCTTGATATACCTGCATTGCAGGGGGTTGGGCTAAATGTCCCTCGGGGTCCCTTTCAACTCTGAGAAACCTCAACATTACCCTGAGTCCCCCTCCAGCAGCCCAATTCTGTGCCTAACCCCTCCCCTCCGTCCCTCACGGTGGCATCTTCCACTCTGAGCTTTGCGCTCTTCAGAGACTATTTCTGCCCCGCTTCAATTAAAACTTCTGTCGCCCGTTGGCTCGCTGCATCTCTGTTTCACCTCCCGCCCTTGAGCTCTTTCGCAACTGGCAACGCGCAAACGCGTTTTATTCCTGGCTTTCACAAGTTTCCCTTTTCTCCTCGCGCGCTTCTCTCTTCTTTGCAGGAACCGAGGAGCTGCCTCGCTCCGATCCGTCCTGCAAGCCTTGCATTCAAGCGCTCTTGGGCAGATTCCTCCCACCCCCTTCTCCCCCCTTCATTTCACGTTGCAATAATTTTGCATGCGGCAGTTTGGGAATGTTAGCTGCGGACGGGTCAAAGGGAACGCAGCCTTTCTCCCCTCCCCTCTAATCCTGCCGCAGGGAGAAATATAAAAGCAGATTCTCTGTCTCCCGAGAATTGCATTCTTGCATCATCAGTCACGGGAGGAAAAGCCACCGGAGGCTCTCCAAGCTCAAACAGAAACTACCCCCCCCCACACACACACCCCGGGCTTTCCACTCACCTGGGCTGGGGGAAAGTCGTGCGTTCCTTCTGCAGGCGATCAAAAAAGATCCCCCGCTGGCTTTCTTGTTGTGGTGTGTGACAGGCAGCTGGCGAGGGAGACACGTGGTTGCAGCAGAGGCGATCCAGCCGAGGCACCAGCGACCCCCTCCGTCCGGCACTGGCTGGGGACAGGCGCTGCTTGCGCAAAGCGTGCGCTCAATGTCAGCTGTGGCGCAGGATGATCCAGTTCAGTGCAAGGGCGGCGGCGGGGGGGCTGGGAAGGCTTGAAAGGGGAGGTGGAGAGAGGGAGGGAGGGCTCCCCTCTTCATTTACCCCCAGCGACCTTTCACAAGATTGCAGAGCGAGCTAGCGAAATGGAGAGGCGGCGCTTCTTTCTGCGCGCCTGCCTTTCTGCCCAACAGGGGAAGCAACTCCAGCTGCTTGGGTCCCCCCCTCCCCTTCCCCCCCTCGACTTAACTGAGTTCTTCCTGTTCTTCTTCCTTCCACAACAGCTGGGGGGGGGGGGAAGGAGGAGGAAAGAAAAATGGGTCAAAGGGGGATCGCGGTCGATTAAGAAGCTGCGCTGCGTTTCTTCTTCCTAAGAATAAGTAACAGAAAGGCAATCGGGGCTCCGCCAGCCAGCCAGCCAGCCAAGTGCGGTGGTGCAGAATGGGAGATCATGAGCTGGCAAGGTCCAGGTCATAGCTGTCAACCTTCCCTTTTTTTGCGGGGAATTCCCTTATTCCAGCGCCGTTTCCCGCTGCTATCCCGGATTGTTAGATATCCCTTAGACTGTCCCCGGGACAGGTGAGGCTGCTGATCCCTTATTTTCGAGGCTGCTGATCCCTTATTTTCAAATCTGAAAGTTGACAGCTATGGTCCACGTTCAGCTCTCCCTGGGTGATCGTGGGCCATACGCTTACCTCGCAGGGCTGTTGTGGAGCAAAAGGGGGAGGGCATTTCTCTGATGAAAATAGGGAGGTGTTATTCCACAATAATTTTATTATTTGTACCCTGCCCATCTGACTGGGTTGCCCCAGCCACTCTGGGCAGCTTCGAACATATATAAATACATTAAACATTAAAAAAGACCCCCTGAAGGGCTGCCTTCAGATGTATAGTTATTTATCTCTTTGGCTAGGCGTCACATACCCTCCAAATTTTCTCCAATGAAAATAGGGACATCTGATGGAAAAGCAGGACATTCCAGGATCAAATCAGAAACGGGGATGGCTTCTGTAAATCTGGGACTGTCCTTGGAAAATAGGGACACTTGGGGGGTCTGGGAAGAGGAACGCTGCCAGAGTAAACCCTGAAGAGGGCAGTCAAAATCTGGGGGGGGGGGCCTCACAAATTATCTCCTAATACATTTTTATAATTTTCTTTCAAGATCAAATCAATATTACTTTGGTCAGTTGTTGTGGGGCCCCATAGGCCAATGCCTACTTTGCCTATTTGGTAAAGCAAGACCTTCATGCTGTGAGCGCCTCCTTCATAAGCTCGGGTTGTTTATATATGCAGATAAACCATATATCATGAAATATATATACCCCTCATTCCAAGGAAACAGAGGGCTGGGCAAACATCTGGAATTTTGCACTGCTTAGAGATTGGGGTGTGTACATCAGTAATATATACAGCAGGCATGTCCAACCAGTAGATCACGATCTACCAGTAGATCCCTGGTAGATCGCAGGATCATCCAAAAAATAGTTCAACAACTCTGTTCAATCCTCCCCCCAAAAAGCTCAGCAACCCTTGGCAGAGTCAGTGTGGTGTAGTGGTTAAGAGTGGTGGACTCGTAATTAGGTGAACCGGGTTCACTTCCCCGCTCCTCCACATGCAGCTGCTGGGTGACCTTGGGCCAGTCACACTTCTTTGAAGTCTCTCAGCCCCACTCACCTCACAGAGTGTTTGTTGTGGGCGAGGAATGGAAAGGAGATTGTTAGCTGCTTTGAGACTCCTTAGGGTAGTGATAAAGCGGGATATCAAATCCAAACTCTTCTTGGCAACCCTCCCCTTCCACTCATCCACCCCACGCATGCTCCTCCTCCCTCCAATGACAATGGGTAAATCATTACCAGTTTTTTTTTATATACTGGGAGTAGATCAGTCCCTTGGACATGCCTGATATACAGTATATAAACTTTTGAACTGACCTCTGCTTTGAACACTCCTGCCCTCTAATTCCAGATGTGTACCAGAGGTGTCCTGTGATTACATGGTCTGCTTCACTGCATAAAAGGTAAGGGGACCCCTGACCATTAGGTCCAGTCGCGGATGACTCTGGGGTTGCGGCGCTCATCTCGCTTTATTGGCTGAGGGAGCCTGCGAACAGCTTTCGGGTCATGTGGCCAGCATGACTAAGCCGCTTCTTGCGAACCAGAGCAGTGCACGGAAAAGCCATTTACCTTCCCACCGGTGCGGTACCTATTTATCTACTTGCACTTTCACGTGCTTTCGAACTGTTAGGTTGGCAGGAGCAGGGACCAAGCAATGGGAGCTCACCCCTTCGCGGGGATTTGAACCGCCAACCTTCTGATCGGCAAGTCCTAGGCTCTGTGGTTTAACCCACAGCGCCATAGTCTTGCCTTTATCTCTGCTTCTTTTAATTCTCTCTGCATTACACAGGTCCATTGGCTTAGGTAGACTTCTGAGTGCCAGCATGCATTTCTACTCATCCTGGTACGCTTGTGCCACACTGCACACCATTGTGAGAAAATAACCACACCAAATAGAACCAAACAACAAAGACCTTGCAGCACCTTAAATACTAGGGGTTGTGTCCCACAGTAGTCCTACTCAGAGTAGACCTAGTGAAATGATTAGGACTGATTTAGGTGCATTAATTTTGATGTGGCTTATTTAAGGGGGGGGGAATAACTGAATACCACCTTTCTGACAGTAAGAGCCATTTGCCAGTGGAATGGTCTACTTTGGGAAGTGATGACTCTCCTTCCTTGGAGGTTTTAAGCAGAGGTTGGCTGGCCATCTGTCATGGATGCTTTAGCTGAGATTCCTGCATTGCAGGGGGTTGGAATAAATGACCCTTGGGGTCCCTTCCAACTCTACGATTCTATGAACCCCAGCACATTTATTACCAAAATGGTCAAAGGCCTGGAAACGATGCCTTATGAGGAACGGCTAAGGGAGCTGGGCATGTTTAGCCTGGAGAAGAGGAGGTTAAGGGTGATATGATAGCCATGTTCAAATATATAAAAGGATGTCACATAGAGGAGGGAGAAAGGTTGTTTTCTGCTGCTCCAGAGATGCGGACACGGAGCAATGGATCCAAACTACAAGAAAGAAGATTCCACCTAAACATTAGGAAGAACTTCCTGACAGTAAGAGCTGTTCGACAGTGGAATTTGCTGCCAAGGAGTGTGGTGGAGTCTCCTTCTTTGGAGGTCTTTAAGCAGAGGCTTGACAACCATATGTCAGGAGTGCTCTGATGGTGTTTCCTGCTTGGCAGGGGGTTGGACTCGATGGCCCTTGTGGTCTCTTCCAACTCTATGATTCTATGATGGCACAAGCTTTCATGGAGTAGACTGCCTTTCATCAGATGCATAAAATGTTATCCTGAGTTACAAGTGTACACCTGGGGGTGGGGACAGAACTGCAAACAGTGCAACCAGAGGGAAATGAAATACAGAAAGTACAACAAGGATAACAAAAGCATTTGGGGAGCTCTTGCAGACAACCTGTGTATTTCACATTTATCCTGATTTTCTCGCACTAAGCTCATGTGCCAATAGTTAACCTGGGTTTGAATTTACACACACCCTAGTGGAAAAGAGACGATTGTAACGAAATGGTTTATCGATTCACAACGATCAGTCCAGAAACTTTCTGGGAGGGCTACATTTGACCTTGGGTGTGAGGTTCCTGCTGGAGACACATTAGATATCTACATTTCCCCCCAAAACAATCCAAGTTTGTTATGGTTTTGCCAGCAGCAGTGTTGCCTGATGATGGTCTCCTTGGCATCTTACCAGACACGCTTTTCTTATCAAGTAGCGTCAACACAGGTGCCAAAGTCACACATTGGCTGTCAATTCTCTTCGGTACAAGGTTCAAACTCCCAAGCACCTTGCACGCAGCTGGACTTTTAAATTGCGGTCATCCATTTTAAACCCACCATGGCTGTTCTGATGTTTAATGAGTTCAGTGGTGCCTTACAGCTAGCATGGCTGGAGTAACACCAATTAAGGTAGACTATTCCCAGATGTTGCTGGGTCTCTAAAAAGTAATTTTATTGATTTTAAAGAATACAAAGATTCAGAATAACCATACAATGTGGAAGGCACTTAGTTCAAGAAATAATTAATACAGAAATATGCAATAAACGAAAGAAAAATTCAGGATGCAGGGGTAGGAAGGGTACCGATTAGGAGTTTATTTACACATTTCTTAACTATAAACAGAAAACAGAAAGATTTGTCTTGGATTTATGCATTGATGTATATAGAGAGCATATTGGGAAGGGGGAGGGAAGATTGTCATCTTAGAGCAACCATGGATCTGAATGCTGGTCACAGGTTAAAATAGTGCAAGTCATCCTTTACATAATTAATAACATCATAACATATTACAAATAATTTGTTTTGCCCTCTTGCTACTCTTAAAGTGCAAGTGAGTTTTTCCCAATAAGGCTATCTCCCACGGTTTGTTGTACCAGGTTAAGAGGGTAGCCCCATTTAAATCTTTCCAGTGTTTGGTAATAATTCCACTGGCAGCGAACGTTGAATGAGACACCATCTCTCTGCAGTGTGCGGGTACATCTCCAGCTTCAGACAAACTGAGGTGGGGAAGTGACCACACAGTTAACAATTTAACTATTTCTTGACAAACTGAGTTCCAGAAGGGTTGTATTTTGGGAATCCACCAACCGGTTTCAAACTTCCTGTACTAATGAGAAATAATTTGATTTCCCCCCTGAGTATTGTCATATGTCCTTTTCTTTTTGTTGCTGCTCAAAATGTTCACAGTTTACTCCCTTCCTTCCTTCCGTGGCTTCACTATTCTGCAGCCAGAACCCATTGCTTATTTCTGCCTTATTTCCTGGCCCAATGTAACATCCCTGAGTAACTCTGTCGTCAGTCAAAGTAGAGTGACTGTCCCAGGGAGGAGATGAAGGGTAATGTGGAGGCAAGTGGTCTCTTCCCTGCCCTGGCCCTGTGGACTACATTACATTACCTAAGCAAGCTGACTACCTCCAAGTGCTGTGGAAGATGGTGGTCCATCAATAGCATGGAAGCAAGATTCAACTGCCACTCAATCAGTTTTTGGATTGGGGTGGGAGAATCACCCTTCTCAACAGGCAGCAAAATGTATTAAGCTGGTGCCAACGCTTCAAAAACTTACCAGTTGCAAGTAATTGCACGACAGCTCAGCAAAAGAAATAAGACTCTCTGCTATGTGTTTATTTGTTTTGCTTCCATTTATCTAATGAAATCATGTCAGTTCTCTAGTTTTGTTTTTACTTGAAGTCTATCAAATGTAATGTTTAATTTTCATTTTGATCAGGTGCAACTAGAACTTGATTTTCCCCCAGTTTCAATTATGTTTAGCTTTTATTTTATTCTGCCTATTACAAAACAACAAACCTTATGTGTGTGAGATTATCTCCTAGGAAGAGCAATTTGGGGGCGAGGGAGATAATCACAACTTTGCAACTACCTAATTTGGTTGTTACAGTGTCACTTCACTAGCCTGATTCACACTTAATGTCCAGCCATGGTTTCTTTTAAAGACCATAAGTTAACCACAAGTTGTCCCTCAGATGATCAAATAAACCACAGCTTTATCTCCATTTTTTTGTTTTGTTTTCCAGCTGCTCTTGCCTTGTTCCTTTGTAGCTCAGTAAGGATCTGAGGAATGGCTAAACAAATCAAAAAAAGGTGCTTGGACAGCACTTAACTCCAAGCCACAAGAGCTAAAACAAACCAAGGATTATAAACCAACAACAAATAATGGCTTCAGAGAAGTAATTTAACAAACCATGGCTTAGCATTATGTGCAAACTAGGCCATTTTATGACGTACGTTTAGGAAAACAGAAATAGAATTTTCGCCCAGCCAGTCCCTGACAACAAGAGAGATTGGCAGTCTTGAACTAGGCCTGCATGAGACAAAAGTGTGACTTACTCTGTGCAAAACACCAGTCTATGGCTTTGGTGGTCCCACTAGAAATCTAATGAGGGTTGCAGGATCTGTTGGGAGTGCTAATGCTGTGAACCTTCCGTCATACCCTCAGTATGCAATTATGTGCAAATAAGCCTTATATTTAGTTACCTTCTAATGTGAGCTTAAGTTGGGAGGTAGCAGCAGCCTTCTCACTTCAGTTGCTATCTACAAATACACACTTGTATATTGGATGGGTGGGGCTGGTTGTCTCTGCTGCATTTTGGATCTGCTCCGTAGATATTATGGTCCCCATACGTTAGTTGTTGTAGTTTATATTGCTACTGAAGAGGATAGCTTGTGGTTTATATTGCTATTTAAGAGGATATCTTATCTAACCGTTCTGTGCTGCTCTAAAATTTAGAATTTTAATTCTATACACATCAATACTTACTAATACCAAGGACCACCACACTGGTTGTGTCCACTCCGCTCTATTTCCAAAACATGTTTAACACACAATTCACAAACTCACACACAATTCACAAACTCGTCACACCCAAACAAGAGACATCCTGTGGTTAAAAGAACAAACGCAACTAGCTTTTAGGCCAAGCTACACTAGGCAATTGACAAACCCACAATATGTTTGTGGGCAATTTTCAGCACCTCCTTTCTCTAGAAGTCAATCGGCCCCATTATAATTGCCTCAATTTATGACGGTTATCTGTGCTAGTCATCTTCCATTTTTGCCACAAACAGCCTTGACTGATATGATCAGAGGCTCACGAGAAACCAAAAGAGGAGGCAAAAATCATCTGTTTTTTATAGCATCACCAAGCCTTTTAAAAGTCTGAAAATTATTATTAACGTTGGTTCTTTCATTTTGGTGGCTGCTAACCAAATCCAAACCAAATATCTATATGTACATTTTACAGCAGTCCACAAACATGCTACACGTTAAGTCATACTTACCCTTCAAAGTATTCTACACCACCCGCATCACAGTATGCTACAAGTACATGCAAGGAGCTGTGTACTAAATGTGATCCTGCAAACTCAAGCAATAGTAGCACTTGAAACATGCACAGACAGCACAAGTATTTGCCATCACTTATCCTTCCCACACATCCTTCTGCAATAGGTAAGTCAATGCTCACAGTTACAGTTCTGCAAAAAGATGAATTAAGACAGTGAGACAATCACATGGGGAAGACCACAAGCCAGTGTGTGATCCCATTCCCAAATGTGCTCCATTTGCAAGAGTGAATCCAGCTGCTAGAGTCAGTAAGGTTTTTAGGAGGAGGTACATGCCACAAACTTTCTCCAGCAGTGAAAGGAAGCAGGAAATGAACAGTCAGTATCTGCTGAGCTTTCTGGAGTATATTTCTAGTTGTGTATCATGTTTGTCAATGCAACAGGTTTCACTTTGTATGTGCTGTGACAGTCTGCCCCCATGTGGCTTTATTTGGACATAGAATGAGACTGAGTGCCTTTCAATAGGGGTGGGGAATGTGTGGTCTTACAGATGTTCTCAGACCACTCTATTCCTTCCCATTAGTAATACTGGCTGGGAGAAGTAAAAAGTGAGGGTTCAACAGCAACTGGAAGGCCAAAGGTTATCCCTGCACTATAATGGTCTCCCCTTGAGAAATAGAAGATCTTCAATGATGGACAAAGGGTTGCCTAGTTGGTCACCAATGGTGAGGCAGTTGCTATTTGCCTCAACAGTGAGGCTAGGAAGGGCACAGCAATTTGCAAGTGGGCAGCAACAAAGGAACAGCAAGACACTTCTGCCCATCCCAAGGCTTTCTTTGTTGCTTTCACATCTGTGTGACCACCCCACAAGGCTAAGCTGTGAGCACTGGAGGCCATGGGTACTTTGGCACCCACTATAATATATTTGTGGGGCTGAGGTCCCACAAAGTCAATGGGCAAAGTTGAAGCCCTTTGTTGTGGGCACCCACAAACTTCGGCGCAAGAGCTGTGAGCACCTGTCAAAAGAGGAGCCAGGAGTTGTGTCAGAAGCAAGGCTGAAAAGACCAAAGGTGCTCCAAAGTTCCAGCTGAAACACAAAGCCATTTAAGAGGATCCAGGGGCTAGCTTGAGTTTGGTGAGGCTGGTCCAGAGCCTGGGAATACTGTTCCGCACTGCCCAGGAAGACGATCCAATTTGCACCTCTGTGGTTCACCACAGGGGGAAGCCGCATGAAGAGAAAAACATGGTTCTTTATACAGCCTTTAATCTGCTTCCAAACTCAAAAGGAGAGGAAGTCTGGTGTGGACCCATTTAGAGGTAATATATACTGCAATGCACTCTACATGGGTTTTCCCTGGAAAATGGTCTGGAAGCTGCAACACGGTTATTGGTTGCAGCCAGACAGGATCATGCCATTCCAATCCTAAAGATACTGCATTGGCAGCTGCTAAGTCGCCAAGCCCTGTTCATGGTCAGCTGGCAATCTGGTTTATATGTAAACTCCTCTGAATTCACTGGATTAACATTTGCATAAATATGCATAGGTCTAGATGGAAAAACCTTAACTTTTGCTTTTTAAATAAACCAAAAATCCTTCCATGCTTTTTTCCCCCTTGTGTGGTGCAAATAGTTGAAGATACTGTAAGCTGCGAAGAGCATTGCGTTTTGAATACTGTAGAAATAAGAAAGTTAATTGCAAATAATCCAACACAGAATCATAGAATTGTACAGTTAGAGGATACCATAGGGGTTATGTAGTCCTGCAATGCAGGAATCTCAACTAAACACTAGTGAAATAATCCTGGATTAGGAGTAATTTTTTAAAACAGAGAACACAGAAGCTTTAGCTTCTTAAAAAATTACAGGGATAAAAAAAATAAAAATCTTCCCTCCCTCCCACCTTCTATTTCACCGAACATGCACAAGAACCACAGAATCAACCCTTAAGTAAAAGCCGCGCGCTCAGTACACTCACAAGAGCGCCAGCAAATTTTAGCTTCGCGCCCAATCACAGCCTTGCCGCTTTAAGCCCCCTCCCACCTACCAATCAGACACGTCGAGCGCCAGGCCCCGCCCACTCCGAGCGGTTTTTGGCGCGCTTTTGGAGCAGGCCGCTTTTCCGCGCGCCGTTGCTAGGAGACGTCGGAGGAGGCCGTCATTTCCGTTACGGGCCGCTTCCCCCCCCCCGCCCCGAGGATGAGGAGCCGCGAGGAAGTAGATGCCACCCTGCACGTCGCCAAGTTGGACCCGGCGGAGCTGCTCCCCGCGGCGCAGTGCCTCAGCTTCAGCGCCGAGGCGGCGGACGCCGGGGAGTGCCGCCTCTTGCAGCTGGAGCCGGAGCTTTGCGCCGAGTTGGAAGCGGGGCGGAGGTACGCATGCGCACGCTGCCGGTGGGGGGGAAAAGAGCGGGTAAAACGGTACTTTCTAGGACTCGGCTCTGTGGTTGCGCTTGGCTCTAGTCTACAGCGACCCCAGACGGCGTGGAGGGTTAATAGCATTTCTTAGGGAGCTCCCACGTGGAGCGCGCATCACGGTTTTTATATACAAGTTCAGAGACACCCCTTCCTTACTAGGAGCCCCCCAAAATCAGGATGACTGGCTTTTCAGATTTTGGAGCAATAAACATTTACCGCTTGAAAAGACTGCTTTGAAAGTGTGCCCCGCTTTAACTGACAGCCAGTTTTTTTAAAAAAATATATTTTAAAGTGTTATTAAACTTATTATTATTATGCATTAATTTTACCCAGCCTTTTCCCCTTGGTGGGATTCAAGGCTGGACTACAGATGAAAACAGAGAACTGCCTTACTCGCCTTTATGTCAAGGCTGGATGATCAACATTTAGAAATTGTGGGTTGCAATGCATTCGTGTTTTATCAGATTGCTCTTCAATAAGTCCTGGTGGTTAATGACTTCAGTTGGATGCATCCTGTATGCAGGATTGTAAGCATTTATACTTCTGGTTACACCTTAGTGGATTGCAGAGTGGTGCAGCCTTAGACTTGCAGGACATATTTGTACAGTCTGTATGCACAACAAAGTACTGAAATAGCAAAGACTGTTGTGGCCTGCCTTATTGTCTGCACTTCTGGGTTGTTAAAAATAACAACAACACAGTGAAGCATGTGTTGAAGTAGGGCCCAAATGTTGTGAGTCAAATGGGGAGAATGAAGTTAGTTTGGCTGGGTTTTTTGCTTGTTTGTTTTTAACATTGAGCAAGTCAAATTTGGGGTCTGCATAAAAGGCGGATCTACACGGATCCTCATGGATCCTCCACTTTTTAAAAAATAATTCCAACAAATGCAGTGTCAAATCACACCTAGAAGGCACGCCTACAAACTGGACTATAAAAAACGTGGATCCAACACTTTACCGCGCTGCAGCACCACAAAAACATGGATCCGAGGCACGGATCCTCATGAATTCATATGATTTTTATATTGAAACAAAATAAAAACACCATGATACTGTAGACCACATCTTAGTCGGTAGGAGGAACCAAAAAAATCACGCATCCACTGTTTCGTGGTGCCGCAATGGCGCAAAAACATGGTTAAAAACACGGATCCTCATGAATCCTCATGATTTTTGCACTAGATCAGCCCAAACTCACTTTCAAATTACACATCATGTCCAGGGGCACAGCATCCACCACAGAAATCACGGATCCATGGCTTCCTGGCCATACCATGGCCCAAAAACGTGGTTTTCAAGAACGGATCCTCATGGATCCTCACACTTTTTGCATTGGGCCAACCCAAACTCATCGTCAAATCACACATCATGTCCAGGGGCACAGCCTACACCACAAAAAACTTGGATCCACGCCTGCCTGGCCACGCCCTGGCCCAAAACGTGGTTCCGAAGCACGGATCCTCATGAATCCTCATGATTTTTGCACTAGATCAGCCCAAAGTCACCATCAGATCAAACATCATGGCCAGCAGCACAGCATGCAACACAAAAATCACGGATCCACGGCTTCCTGACCATACCGTGGCCCAAAACGTGGTTTTGAAGCACGGATCCTCATGGGTCCTCATGCTTTTTGCATTGGGCCACCCCAAACTCACTGTCAAATCACACATCATGTCCAGGGGCACAGCCTGCACCAAAAAAATCATGGATCCACGGCTTCCTGGCCACTCCATGGCCCAAAAACGTGGTTCCGAAGCTCGGATCCTCATGGATCCTCACGCTTTTTGCACTAGATCAGCCCAAACTCACTGTCAAATCACACATCATGTCCAGGGGCACAGCTTACACCACAAAAAACTCAGATCCACGGCTTCCTGGCCACTCCATGGCCCAAAACGTGGTTTTCAAGAACGGATCCTCATGGATCCTCACACTTTTTGCATTGGGCCAACCCAAACTCACTGTCAAATCACACATCATGTCCAGGGGCACAGCCTACACCACAAAAAACTCGGATCCACGCCTGCCTGGCCACGCCCTGGCCCAAAAACGTGGTTCCGAAGCACGGATCCTCATGAATCCTCATGATTTTTGCACTAGATCAGCCCAAAGTCACCATCAGATCAAACATCACGGCCAGCAGCACAGCATGAAACACAAAAATCACGGATCCACGACTTCATGGCGAAACCGTGGCCCAAAAACTTGGTTCCGAACCACAGATCCTTATGGATCCTCACGCTTTTTGCATTGGGCCACCCCAAACTCACCATCAAATCACACATCATGTCCAGAGGCACAGCCTGCACCACAAAAATCACGGATCCACGGCTTCCTGGCCACTCCATGGCCCAAAAACGTGGTTTTGAAGCACGGATCCTCATGGATCCTCACGCTTTTTGCATTAGGCCACACCTAAATCACTGCCAAATACACATCATGGCCAGGGGCACAGCATCCACCACAAAAAACTGAGATCCGCGGCTTCCTGGCCACTCCATGGCCCAAAAACGTGGTTTTGAATCACAGATCCACACCGATCCTCACACTTTTTGCATTGGGCCAACCCAAACTCACTGTCAAATCACACTTCATGTCCAGGGGCACAGCCTGCACCACAAAAAACTCAGATCCATGGCTTCCTGGCAACACCATGGACCAAAAACGTGGTTTTGAAGGTCGGATCCTCACGGATCCTAACGCTTTTTTCATTGGGCCAGCCTAAACTCACCATCAAATCACACATCGTAGTCAGGGGCACAGCCTGCACCACAAAAAACTCTGATCCACGGCTTCCTGGCAACTCCATAGCCCAAAAACGTGGTTTCGAAGCACGGATCCTCGTGGATCCTCACACTTTTTGCATTGAGCCAGCCCAAACTCACCGTCAGATCACACATCATAGCCAGGGGCACAGCCTGCACCACAAAAAACTCGGATCCACGGCTTCCTGGCAACACCGTGGACCAAAAACCTGGTTTTGAAGCACGGATCCTCATGGATCCTCACACTTTTTGCACTAGATCAGCCCAAAGTCACTGTCAAATCACACATCAATGTCCAGGGGCACAGCCTGCACAACAAAACCTCGGATCCACGGCTTCCTGGCAACACCGTGGACCAAAAACCTGGTTTTGAAGCACGGGTCCTCATGGATCCTCATGCTTTTTGCACTAGATCAGCCCGAACTCACCGTCAAATCCCACATCATGGCCAGGGGCACAGCCTGCACCACAAAAATCACGGATCCATGGCTTCCTGGCCACTCCGTGGCCCAAAACCTGGTTTTGAATCACGGATCCTCATGGATCCTCACGCTTTCGCATTGGGCCAACCCAAACTCACCGTCAGATCACATGTCATAGCCAGGGGCACAGCCTGCACCACAAAAATCATGAGTTGCACTACAAAAATCACAAAAATGCCCTTACCTGCACTGTTAATGTCACCACTGCAATATTATTATTAGAGCCGATAGGAGAATATATGACTACCGTATTTTTTGCTCTATAGGACACATTTTTTACCCTTCAAAAATTAAGGGGACTGTGTGTGCGTCCTATGGAGCGAATGCAGGCTCCTTGGCTTCAGCGATAGCAACACGAAGCCTCCGAAGCGCAGAGGGAGCGCTCCCTCCGCGCTCCAGAGGCTACGCGTTGTCTTCGCTGAAGCCTGGAGAGCGAGAGGGGTCGGTGGTTGCTGAACAACTCCAGGCATGCCTGGAGGATGCAGACAATTTGGATCCCTTCCAATTGGGATTCAGGTCTCATCATGGGACTGAAACTGCCTTGGTCGCGCTGGTTGATGATCTCCGGTGGGCTAGGGACAAAGGTGAGAGCTGTTTCCTAGTTCTGCTGGATCTCTCAGCGGCTTTTGATACAATCGATCATAACATCCTTCTGGACCGTCTAGAGGAGCTGGGAGCTGAGGGTACTGTCATACAGTGGTTTCTCTCCTTCCTCCTGGACTGTGTCCAGAAAGTGGTGGTGGGGGATGAGTGTTCAGACTTACTTGTGGGGTGCCTCGGGGTTCCGTCCTCCCCTCCATGCTTTTTAATATCTACATGAAGCTGCTGGGAGAGATCATCAGGGGGTTTGGGCGTGGTGTCCATCAATATGCGGATGATACCCAGCTCTACCTCTCTTTCAACTCAGAACCAGTGAAGGCGGTGAAGGTCCTGTGTGAGTGCTTGGAGGCGGTTGGAGGATGGATGGCAGCTAATGGATTGAAGTTGAATCCTGACAATATGGAAGTTCTGTTCTTGGGGGACGGGGTGGGCTGGTGTGAAGGACTCCCTGGTCCTGAATGGGGTAACTGTGCCCCTGAAGGACCAGGTGCGCAGCCTGGGAGTCAGCTAGTCTGGTGACTGGGAGTGGCCACCAAGACCATATAACACATGTCCTGAAAGACTTACATTGGCTCCCAGTACATTTCCGAGCACAATTCGAAGTTTTGGTGCTGAACTTTAAAGCCCTAAATGGCCTTGGCCCAGTAGACCTGAAGGAGCATCTCCACGCCCATCATTCTGCCCAGACACTGATGTTCAGCACCAAGGGCCTTCTGGTGGTTCCCTCACTGCGAGAAGCAAAGCGACAAGGAACCAGGCAGAGGGCCTTCTTGGTAGTGGCGCCCGCCCTGTGGAATGTCCTCCCATTAGATGTCACAAGAGATAAACAACTACCTGACATTTAGAAGACATCTGACCGCAGCCCTGTTTAGGGACGTTTTTAATGTGTGACTTTTTAATGTAGTTTTATTTCATTTTTTTTGGAAGCCACCCAGAGTGGCTGGGGAAACCCAGCCAGATGGGCAGGGTACAAATATAGTAGTAGTAGTAGTAGTAGTAGTAGTAGTAGTAGTAGTACTTTGTAGGATTTGATAATCTTTATAGGTCTTTTAAATTTCTAATCTATCTATCTATCTATCTATCCCCTCCCCCTTTTCCCTTTCTGTACTTCCCTATCCTTATAAAATTGAATATATATATATTTTTAAAATTTACGGCTCCACAGTTTTCTGGGTCGCCCCATATTCATTACCCAACCACCTATGCTGCTCATGGCCAGATCACTTTGGGGCACTGCCATGCTGTAAAAGATTCTCATGAAGCACAGATCCCCATGTATCCTTAGTTTTGTTATGTTTGGTCACCCTGAAATCACTATCAAATCACACATGATGTATATGACCACAGAATGAACCACAAAAACCACAGAGCACAGCCAAGGAACAAACACTATATTAAATACTTTAATCCTCATGGATCGGCATGATTGTTAAATGGACTCCACCAAATTATATTGTAAGATCACACCAATGTCCGTGGAATGACCGAAATACAAACGCTATCTGAAATGGTTCTGCATTAGCAAGAACATTGTATTAAAATGACATTCATATTCATAGCTTCCACTGTGAAGAACTGCACCTGGAAATTTTTGACGCTGCTAAACCTCAAGAATATCCAAGGCAGAGATTGTGATGATCTTACCTGTGAATGTAAATTATCAAACCAACTAGATGGATTGAACCACTCTGTGATTGATGCAACAACATCCTTCTTAGCTTGTCTGTATGGGATGGATTCAAAATATCCCTACAGTTTTGTGGCTGGTCATTTTTTGCACCAACTGATATACCCAGGCAAGGTAATTCCAGTGACTACGGTCCTTTCACATGTACCATTGCCCATCTGATTGCTTCTGCTGCCCAATTACAGTTCATACAAAAGGATATGGTTGCCATTAGACCCTGGATTGCAAAAGAAATACCGTAATACAGCACTGTGGTAAAACCTATTCTGAAGGACAAGACAAATATTTTCAAGTGGAAATTGATGCTGTTCCTCCCAAGAAGAGACAAATCTTGAACGAGAGTTACATTACTGTGTTTCAATCATGCCCAGAGGGATGGAAGGATACACTAACCTATTGCTCAGATATTTTACCTTCCTTGTTTGAAGGCTGCTGGTCACTATGTTTCTTGAAGGAAGGGTGCAGGAGGCCCAGTGGTGACCTAACTATGGTTTACTGTGAAGGAAACTGCAAGGACTGGTACTACTGCTTTCGCATAGGCATTGATTCAAAAGATCTTCCAGAGGTTTTCGTGTGTCCAGACTGTCAATCCACTGTGGCCAAATAGATTTTGAAACTGCGAACTGTCATATTCCACAGGTTGGTATAATACAGCAAAATCCAAACATATAGTTTTCATCATCATAGCAGGGATGGTCCTTTTCCATAGAATTATTATTTATGGAGTTAGTTTTTACATCGTGCTTTTCTCTACTTGAAGGAGTCTCAAAGTGGCTAAAAATCTCCTTTCCCTTCCACCCCCACAACAGACACCTTGTGAGGTAGGTGGGGCTGAGAGAGTTCAGAGAGAAGTGTGACTGGCCCAAGGTCACCCAGCAGCCTGCATGTGGAGGAGCGGGGAAGCGAACCCAGCTCACCAGATTAGAGTCCACCGCTCTTAACCACTACACCACAGAAACATATCTCTTAAAACTCTGGAGCAAGCTGTTCAGTTCAGCCTCATAGTGATACTGATTTGTGGAGGGAAGGTTGGTGATGAGCAAGATCTGTTCCCATTTCCCAACACAGAGACCACAGAGCAGTTTCTTTTGGGGGCTGAACCTGCAGAGTGTTTCTGTTCAGAATTTCTGTGGCAAAAATTGGCTAAGTGCCTTTATAAACATTCAGCTTCTCAAATCGAACCCCATCATGAAACTTTCAGGTGTAGCTGCTGGAGGTGGAGGGCAGAGAAGGTGCTATTCCTTACCTCCCTCCTCCCAACCCCATGATCAGTTGCCCAATGGGCTGAATTTCAGGGCTTTTGCATGTAAAGGGCAAGCTTGTTCTTTACTTGTTTAGATCTTTAAACTTGGGAACAGATATATGGCTCCATGACCAAAATGGTCAGCTTCTAGAGGACTGGAAAGATCATGATTGTACTTCCCCTACCCTCAGCCCTAACCCCGTTGAGTATTTTTGTTATGAGACTGAGTGTTTGGGGCTGATGCTATAGCATTCTTGTCTGGGGGCTTGATGGAAAAACAGAAAAGTGACCCTCACCTAACTCTCCAATGCCCTTCAACGAGAATGCTGTAGGAAATATTGCTAAGCCCAAAGGGAGGCAAGAATTTGCTTCAGCTCACCTTGTTAATGGCAGAGCAAAAGCTATGTGTGTGTCATTCTCAATCAGTCTACTTTCAGGACTGATTTTAGAACCCTCTTGTCAGGGAACTGACATCAGAGCGAGAGGCGAAGGGGAGGCTCTCTGATGATGTGGGAGAAGGACCCAGCAGCAGAGGGAGAAACAGCAGCGCAACACCAGGGATAGAGGGGGGCAGATGGGGGAATCGGAGAGAGGGCTCCAGGATTCTTCACTGGACATCAGTGAGGAGAGCCCAGGTCCTCCGCTGCCCACGCCCTCCCTGCGCAGGAGGCTCCCGCGCAGTGAGAGGAGGAGGAGACTGGGTGTCAAACAACTTTTATGTTGGAAGAGGTTCAAGAAACGCCCACTGACGGATTCTGCCAGCGATTGAGGCAGCCCACGATGAGAAGGGGCTGTGCAGTCAGAGAGGTTTTACAAGGCAAATCAGCCTAGAGAGGCACCAGTTTACGCACGAGTAACTCATACCCATTACACCTCTTATATCAGGCCACATGGTCACTGGAGGTGGCCCCATCATGCAAACATGACTATCCACACAGGGACCATCTATTTTTATTTTTTTCTGATACTGGATTTTAAGTTACAGTTACATCTTTTAAAACAGCTGTCAGTATATCACACTGTATTCCACTTGCCTTCCAAAGGAATACGTGGCTCTCCCCACATAGCGGGTTAGGTTGAGACTGCTGATCCAAAGTGATCAGTAATTTTTACGGTAATTACAATCCTGCTTTCCCTTGTACCAGCTTACCTTGACTTTAGTTAGGCCTTTGAAAAGGTCCCCCATGATATTATTGCAAAAAAACTAGTAAAATGTGGGCTAGACAAAGCTACTGTTAGGTGGATTTGTAATTGGTTGACGGGCTGAACCCAAAGAGTGCTCATCAGTGGCTCACCTTCATCCTGGAAAAAAATGACTATTGGGGTTCCACAAGGTTCTGTCCTGGGCCTGGTGCTATTCAATATTTTTATAAATGATTTGGATGATGGAATAGAGGGTGTGCTAATCAAATTTGCAAATGACTGCAAACTGGGAGGGGTTGCTAATACACCGGAGGGCAGGGTCAGAATTCAAAATGACCTGAACAGCCTAGAGAGCTGGGCCAAAACCAACAATATGGAGTTCAATTAGGAGAAATGTAAGGTACTACACCTGGATAGAAAAAATGAAATGCACAGGTGGGGGACACTTGGCTTGACAACAGTACCTGTGAAAGGGATCTGGGAGTCTTAGTCGACCACAAGCTGAATATGAGTCAACAGTGTGATGTGGCAGCTAAGAACGCCAATGCAATTCTGGGCTGCATCAATAGGAGTATAGTGTCTAGATCAAGCGAAGGAATGCTACCACACTATTCTGGTTGGCCAGACCACACCTGAAATATTGTGTCCAGTTCTGGGCACCACAGTTGAAGAAGGATATTGTCAAGCTGGAGCATGTCCAGAGGAGGGTGACCAAAATGTAAAGGTCTGGAATCCAAGCCCTATGAGGAGAGACTTAGGGAGCTGGATTTGTTTAATCTAGAGAAGAGAAGATTAAGGAGTGACATGATAGCCATGTTTAAATATTTGAAGGGATGTCATGTTGAAGAGGGAGCAAGCTTGTTTTCTGCTGTTCTAGAGACTAGGATGCAGAATAATGGATTCAAACTATGGGAAAAGAGATTCCACCTGGGCGCGGTAATCCAGTCAGGGGAAAAGGGAGGCATACTATGTTTAGGGCACCGTTTCCAGCCCCTTCCCCTTTTCGGGGTGAGCATAGTGGATCCTAAAAAGGGCTGCTCAGTCATGGATACAGCTGCTGAGCTGCTCAACTGCCTCATTCCTTGAGTCAGAACGACTGACCGCCCATGTGTCGGTTCATGACTAGGGGCTTCACATTCCTGCCCCCGTAGCCATTTAGTGATCGCCATGGGGGGAGGGGTTGGGTGGGTTGGGTTGGCTTTTGGAAGACGCCTGTGCGTGAATTTGTTTTATGTGTGTAGATCAGTGCACACTGACCAACGCACAGTCTTCGCAGTAGGGCTCTGTTCTGATGGCATGAGTATTCACGACAAACTGGTGGATCCTATCTGCTGCAGCCTTCACCTGCCTTCACAGGCGTTGTAACACACTGCTTGTTATCACCCGCCTGTTCTGCCGTTGAGGACTTCTTGCATCATTCTTTGTCTAGCTCCTTCCCTGTTATGTACTAAGCTTGGATCCTAGAACAATAGACAAGTAGGATCCTAGAATGCAAGAACTGATTGGCTTGCAGGAAAAGACCAATCAGGCTCCAGGAGGGAAGCAGAATCAGCCAGTCAGACGGGACTCATTGTGTAAATAATGTATATAAAAGCCTGAGGTTTGGGGGGGAAATTCAGTCACTGTTTTACAAGCTGCAATAAAGAGCATGAAATCACTACAGGACTCTGAGCATATTTAATTTTCTTTGACCTTACCGCCTTGGGTGACCCTGCTGGGAGTACGAGATTCCCAACGGCTTTGCTCACAAGGGTCATATGAATGTGCAAGCCTACTCACCATGACATGTGAGAGAACTGAGATAGATTGCACTGAGCCCTGGTCTCATTAGACAAAGCGTTCCAACAAAAAGGCTCTGGCTCTGGTTGAGGACAGCTGGATAGGTTTTAGGCCAGGGACCACCAGTAGGTTGCTGTTAGATGAGCGTCACACTCATGGGGGGTGTATTGGAAGATAATTCCCACAGATAAGAAAGGTCACAGCCTGTTTAGGGCTTTAAAGATTAGCACCAAAACATTGAACCTGATTCAATACTCCACCTGGAGCCAATCCAGCTGATGAACAACCAACTGAATGTGGGCTCTCCACAAAGTCCAAGTAAGAACTCATGCATCTGCATTTTAGACCATTTGGAGTTTCTGGAGCAGTCTCAAGGGTAGCCCTGCATATCTCTCTCTCTCTCTCTCTCTCTCTCTCTCTCTCTCTCACTCTCGATCACATTTATACCCTGCACTCCCCGGCTCAGGTGTACAGCAAGTTAAAGTAGTCTAGTCTGCTGGTGACTACTCCATGGATCACCATGGCTAGGTTGGAAAGGGACAGGTACAGTACCGATTGCCTAAGCTGACATAGATTCAAAAATGCCAGTTTGGCTACATTTGTGACCAATGCCTCCATAGAGACAGAAGCATCCAGGATCACAAAGGGACTCCTGATGGCAGCTACAGGTGACTATTGCGCCCCATGAAGAGCTGGGAGCTGGCAAACCGAACTGAAATCATTCTGGCCCAGCCATTGGGCGCCCATCTTTAATGGATAGAGATTCAGCCGACTCCATTTCCTCCATCCCAGCACACCCACCTAAAAATTGGCCAATATATCCAGGGTAGCATCTGGCCAGGGCCATGAAGCAGAAGATCCATGATGTTTGTGGTCATATCTGTGGTTATGTACAAGATATTTGAATAAAGGGTGAATTTGGGGTTCCCCAATGCAAAAAGTGTGAGGATCCATGAGGATCCGTGCTTCAAAACCATGTTTTGGGGCCATGGAGTGGCCAGGAAGCCATGGATCTCAGTTTTTGTGGTGCAGGCTGTGCCCCTAGCCATGATGTGTGATTTGACGGTGAGTTGGGGCTCGCCCAATGCAACAAGTGTTAGCCTCCATGAGGATCCGTGGTTCGGAACCACGTTTTTGGGCCACGGAGTGGCCAGGAAGCCATGGATCCATGATTTTTGTGGTGCAGGCTGTGCCCCTGGACATGATGTGTGATTTAACGGTGCATTTGGGTTGGCCCAATGCGAAAAGTGTGAGGATCCATGAGGATCCGTGCTTCAAAACCACGTTTTTGGGCCGTGTAATGACCAGAAAGCTGTGGATCCTAGTTTTTTTGTGGTGCAAGTTGTATCCCTGGACATGATGTGTGATTTGACAGTGAGTTTGGGCTGGCCCAATGCAAAAAGTGTGAGGATCCACGAGTAACCGTGCTATGAAACCACGTTTTTGGGCTACGGTGTCGCCAGGAAGCCATGGATCCGTGATTTTTGTGGTGCAGGCTGTGCCCCTGGCCATGATGTGGGATTTGTCGGTGAGTTCGGGCTGATCTAGTGCAAAAAGCATGAGGATCCATGAGGATCCATGCTTCAAAACCACGTTTTGGGCCACGGTATGACCAGGATCTGTGGATCCGTGATTTTTGTGGTGCAGGCTGTGCCCCTGACTACGACGTGTGATCTGACGGTGAGTTTGGGTTGGCCCAATGCGAAAAGCGTGAGGATCCATTAGGATCTGTGCTTCAAAACCACGTTTTGGGCCATGCCGTGGCAGATAACCGTGGATCTGAGTTTTCTGTGGTGCAGGCTGTGCCCCTGGACATGATGTGTGATTTGACAGTGAATTTGGTGTGGCCCAATGCAAAAAGCGTTAGGATCCATGAGGATCCGTGGTTTGGAACCACATTTTTGGGCCACGGTATGGCCAGGAAGCCGTGGATATGTGATTTTTGTGGTGGATGCTGTGCCCCTGGACATGATATGTGATTTGACAGTGAGTTTGGGTTGGCCCAATGCAAAAAGCGTCAGGATCCATGAGGATCCGTGCTTCGAAACCACGTTTTTGGGCCATGGCGTTGCAAGATAACCGTGGATCCGAGTTTTTGTTGTGTAGTCTGTGCCCCTGGCTATGATATGTGATTTGCTGTTGAGTTTTGGTTGGCCAAATGAAAAAAGCGTTAGGATCCATGAGGATCCGTGCTTCAAAACCACGTTTTGGGCCATGGAGTGGCCAGGAAGCCGTGGATCCGAGTTTTTTGTGGTGTAAGCTGTGCCCCTGGGAATGATGTGTGATTTGACGGTGAGTTTGGGTTGGCCCAATGCAAAAAGCGTGAGGATCCATGAGGATCCGTGCTTTAAAACCATGTTTTTGGGCCACGAAGTGGCCAGGAAGCCGTGGATCCGAGATTTTTGTGGTGTAAGCTGTGCCCCTGGACATGGTGTGTGATTTGACAGTGAGTTTGGGCTGATCTAGTGCAAAAAGTGTGAGGATCCATGAGGATCCGAGCTTCGGAACCACGTTTTGGGCCATGGAGTGGCCAGGAAGCCATGGATCCGAGTTTTCTGTTGTGTAAGCTGTGCCCCTGGTAATGATGTGTGATTTGACGGTGAGTTTGGGTTGGCCCAATGCAAAAAGCATGAGGATCCATGAGGATCCGTGCTTTAAAACCACGTTTTGGGCCATGGAATCGCCAGGAAGCCGTGGATCCGAGTTTTTTGTGGTGTAAGCTGTGTCCCTGGACATGGTGTGTGATTTGACAGTGAGTTTGGGCTGATCTAGTTCAAAAGCGTGAGGATCCATGAGGATCCGAGCTTCGGAACCACGTTTTTGGGCCATGGAGTGGCCAGGAAGCCATGGATCTGAGTTTTTTTTGGTGCAGGCTGTGCCCCTGGACATGATGTGTGATTTGACAGTGAGTTTGGGTTGGCCCAATGCAAAAAGCGTGAGGATCCATGAGGATCCGTGCTTCAAAACCACGTTTTTGGGCCATGGCGTTGCCAGGAAGCAGTCGATCCGAGTTTTTTGTGGTGCAGGCAGTGCCCCTGGACATGATGTGTGATTTGATGGTGAGTTTGGGTTGGCCCAATGCAAAAAGCATGAGGATCCATGAGGATCCGTGCTTCAAAACCACGTTTTGGGCCACGGAATGGCCATGCGGGCGTGGATCTGAGTTTTTGTGGTGCAGGCTGTGCCCCTGGCTATGATATGTGATTTGACGGTGAGTTTGGGCTGGCCCAATGCAAAAAGCGTGAGGATCCATGAGGATCCGTGCTTTCAAAACGTTTTTGGGCCACGGTTTCGCCAGGAAGCCGTGGATCCGTGATTTTTGTGTTGCATGCTGTGCCCATGGCGATGATGTTTGATCTGATGGTGACTTTGGGCTGATCTAGTGCAAAAACCATGAGGATCCATGAGGATCCGTGCTTCGAAACCACGTTTTTGGGCCACGGTATGGCCAGGCAGGCGTGGATCCGTGATTTTTGTGGTGCCTGCTGTGCCCATGGCCATGATGTTTGATCTGATGGTGACTTTGGGCTGATCTAGTGCAAAAATCATGAGGATCCATGAGGATCCATGCTTCAGAACCACGTTTTTGGGCCACGGTATGGCCAGGCAGGCGTGGATCCGAGTTTTTTTTGGTGTAGGCTGTGCCCATGGCGATGATGTTTGATCTGATGGTGACTTTGGGCTGATCTAGTGCAAAAATCATGAGGATCCATGAGGATCCATGCTTCAGAACCACGTTTTGGGCCACGGTATGGCCAGGCAGGCGTGGATCCGAGTTTTTTGGTGTAGGCTGTGCCCCTGGCTATGATGTGTGATTTGACAGTGATTTAGGGGTGGCCCAATGCAAAAAGCATGAGGATCCATGAGGATCCGTGCTTCAAAACCACGTTTTGGGCCACGGTTTCCCCACGAAGCCGTGGATCCGTGATTTTTGTGGTGGATTCTGTGCCCATGGCGATGATGTTTGATCTGATGGTGACTTTGGGCTGATCTAGTGCAAAAATCATGAGGATCCATGAGGATCCGTGTTTTTAACCATGTTTTTGCGCCCCTGCGGCCCCCCGAAACAGTGGATGCGTGATTTTTTTGATGCTGCCTACAGAGTAAGACATGGTCTACAGTATCATGGTGGTTTTATTTAATTTGAATGAAAAAATCATATGAATTCATGAGGATCCGTGTAGATCCGCCTTTTACCTTTTTCCTCAAATTTGCTGTTTTTATACATAATATCCTGATATTGTTGTAAATAAAAATATGCCCTTTTCCCTTATGGGGTATCCAAGAGCCCATATAGAGTCCTTACATAGGTTCCCTATTGGTAGGAGAAAATAACAGAGGCCAACCAGAGAATATTGAGAAGCAAAGCAGCTAGTAAGCTTGATCTTTATTGATCTGTTGCAACAGGGTACTCCCCTCACACGCAGGAGAGGAAGAGGACCCCCAAAAATGCTATGCAAGGGCTTATAAAGACTTTTGAAATTCCCATCCTCTAGATCAAGACCACCCCCAGAAACATTATGCATTCATCGCAGAAGGGGTGTAACCTAAGACCACCCCTCAGATAAGGCGGTCTAAAACAGAACATTTGCATGTTGTTTTCTCCTGTCGCTTTGTTTATTTCCTGTCTGGCAGGTTACTTGATTGGATTTCTTGGGAGCCTTGGCAGTCTTTTGTAATGATAAGGCTCACACCCTTATTCAAACACAGATTAAGATAGGATTTGTGAAGGAAGAGACAATGGGGAGGCTTTTCCATTTTTACCATGCAGAGAAACATTTGCTCAGTTTAGGAATCAAAATGGTTCCAGGTTGGCTTTCCTGTGCTGATCTATGTACGTGTGGTTATGAACGTTGCCATATATCTAAAACCATAAAATTCCTATCACAATATATAGTAACATTAGTCACAATTGAAACCTAGCATCCTTTCATTATTTTAAAAGTTTGCTTGCTATTCAGAAGTAAATGCTGCTTTAAAAACCCAAACAAACCATTGCTGCAGTGACTCTGTATTTAATTGTTTTGTTTTGTTTTGCAGCCTGGTGATCCGTGGAGACCGCGATGAACATGCTGTGTTATGCAGCAAAGATAAAACCTATGACATGAAAATAGCAGATACCTCTAATACATTGCTTTTCATACCTGGCTGTGAAACTCCAGAGCAGCTTGGCATAAACAAGACAGCTTCTAATATACTTTACACTCAGGTATTTTGTGTGTGAGTGAGTGAGAGAGACTTTTCTGAAGCCAACTGCAAATGGCTAACTATCTTTGAAAATGTAGGTTCTAACCCACTCCTGTTTATATACTCTTTTAAAAATAATCTATCACATTTATATCCTTCCTTCCTTCCATGGCATTCAAAGTGGTTTATAAGGGGTGGTCCTGTCTTATGCTTAGTGCAATTCTATGATTTGGGTTAGCGGAATAAGAAGGATTGATCCAAGATAACCTAAAAAGTTAATGGTTGAACAGGAATTAGAACACAGGGCTGGTTTTGGTGGTTGGATGACCCAGTTTCAAATCAGGTGCCATCCATAGCATTATTTTTTCCCCATTTTTAGCTGCATGATTTACAAGCGTCTTACGTCTCTTAAAAAAAAAGTGTATGTGGCAGAACACTAGTATGAATTCTTTTCCTATTTGAAAGTTGCCATTCTGGTGGCAAGAAGACCATGAAGCAGATACAGGAGTTATTGTGGCCCTGCACGTTCATAGGGCAAGTCCTGTTTGTTTTTCATTGGCCACCACTCAAATGCAAAAAGAACAGGAAGGAGGCACGGAACCATAAATAATGCAAAAAGGAGAAATGTGTTCTGCAAAAGGGTCTTCCCTACAGTACCAACTAGGCAGCAATGTTTGTGCAAGCAGCTTCAGCTGTTCTACAACATTTTGAAGTTTTAAGATTGCTCCCGCAGATGGAACTTGTGTTCTGCAACACATTGAGCTTCTAAATCTTATTAGTTGTTGCTTTTGGGAACACGTTTCTCCTTTTGCATTCATTCTTCTTCTCACCACCTCAATGGCTACCTTCCGTTGGAAACTGAAAAGGTGCCCTCTGAAGGAGCATCTAATATGCCAAACAGAGGGGCATATTATCGTTTTTCATTACAAGGTCTGATGTTGATCAGGGGATCTCTGTCTGCGACTGACAGATTTAAATATTAGTCGTGGCAAATTCCAATTAAGGCTATTGCTATAGATTGCAGGCTTCTCCAATAATTACTGGGAACTAAGAAGATGCCGACCTAAGTTAAAGAAACTCAAGAAACTTCTGATGGAAAATCCTTATGAAGGACCAGACAGTGAAAACGAGAGAAGTTCGACTAAATCAAAGGTAAAAACGGGAGAGGAGTTGGTGGAAAAGCTTCTTTGGCATCAGCTTTTTAAAAATGCATAGTTTAGATTGCTCTTGTGAAAGAATAGAAATGAAGCTATTAATTGATTGCAAGGTAATGAGTGTAACTGGTGAATATCAAGTGATATTAAACACTGCCCTACCTTACACCAATCCTGTAAGGTAAAAGTGTGTATTATTCTCTCCCTGTTGGTGGAAGTGAACTGAGTAGGAAGGGAGAGAGAGACTTGGCTAAGGTCACCTAACAAGCTCACAGCAGAGATGAACTTTGAATCCTCTGCTTCACCTTCTCTGTTACCCAGTGCTAGTTCTCAAAGGCTTATGTTTCAAAACATAAAGCTAGCTCCAAGAGTACTAGAAGGTTCATTCCTTTTGGCTTCTCTGCAACCAACAGATTAGTGGATATGGTGTTCAAGAAGATGGGACTCTACTTCTATTTAACACATAATTCAAAACAATTAAGGTTGTCAGAAAAATTATATTTTAAAGAGTTTGAATTACTTCACAAATCTTAAAAATAAGTTGATGGGGTTTTTTTTTGTTTTTTCCCCTCTTTTTGACATTGTTACTTAAGTATCTGTCATTATGATAAGTGAGGCATGTGCTGAAATAGGACTTGCTTGCCTCAAGGACTTGGGATTGGTGCAGTGTACGCTTGTCCAGTTTGAGAGTAATAAACATTATCTCTTTCCTACATCCCCTTCCCACTGTGGGATGTAGCATTATGGAGGGTTTTATCCAAGGAAATGTAGTTATCCCATTAGTGCGAGAACTTCCACCTCCCCCACATCCCTCCCAATATGTTCTGGAGTACGCCCAACCTAACAAAAGAGAAGGGGGTGGTCACAGGAGAGGAGAAGAAGTCCCATTGCATGCTAACAGTATAAATTCATTGGATACAACCCTTACAGACAGATAGTCATAAAGTCTAGTATGAGAATAAATATTGGCTTAATAATTTTGTGTGTCTTTTACAGTACACAACAGAAGAGTTACTTGAACAGGTCCAAGCAAGTGAGGAAGAAATAATGGATCAACTGAAGGTTCTAAAAGCATGCCAAATTGAAGGTATTTGGAGATAATCTGGAGCTCATATTTTTAATGTGTGGGGGGGTCTATTTGCATTGTTTTCTCCCTGTCTCTTAGAATTCCTTCTTATCTAAAGGTTTCTGAGCTTTAAAGGTTGATTTACATGATTCTACTGTATTGTAACAAGAAAAGGAGTAGATTAAAATTACTTGCAAGGATTTTGATGGATAATTATGGGCGTATCTTCTTTTGACTGACCACGGTGGCTATGGTGACTGTAGGAAGCTCTTTTTTCCAGAAAAGTAGCACAGCATTTTCTTGTTCCTACTCTAGCCTACTTTCCTCAGTTTTTATTAAAAGCCAATTTTTGTGCTCTGTTTGTGTGGCACTCCATTTTTCAGGACAGAGGCTGTGCAGATAAGATTGGGTTCCATTTTCAGGGGCTCCCATTGAGTTCTATGAGACAAAGTAACAGGCTGTAATCTTGAACACCATTTGGGTGTGCATGTAGAGGAGCACATGTGTGTGTGTGTGTGTGTGTGTGTGTGTGTGTGTGCATAGAAGAGAACCTTTTTTTTTGACAACTATGCGAAACAAATCTGCTGTGTATGAATTGTCCCCGGTATCATAACAATGGGTACTTGGCTAGCATGTGACAAGTGCCTCTTGTTTAAAAAGATGTGGAAGATCATAGTCTACTTTCCATAGAATAAGTTTTACCATTTCTGCTGGTTTTTGATTATGACCTTGCTTCTCTGCTTGGCAGGTTGTTGGCGGATTCTAGACTTTGATTATGAGATGAAATTGTTGAATCATGTGACACAATTGATATATACAGAGTCCTGGCCATTCAGCAAGGTCCCTTTAAGCATATGTCTTCAAGAACTCGGACCTTTAGAGCCCAAGTAAGTTCTTTTGTTAGCCCTTGCATAAAAATGTAAGGTCCAGAATTTTAGTCCAGCATTTTAGTCCAGAATAGAAGGGTCCACCCTCACCCCCAGTTTTCGTTACGAAGGTGCTCTTGTTCTGTTGGTTATAACAGCTCCATCCTCTGGACCACTTCAGATACATAAAATATCAACAGGTGCTGGAGGGGATGTTCAGTGGAACCATAGCTGTCAACTTTCAGATTTGAAAATAAGGGATCAGCAGCCTCAAAAATAAGGGATCAGCAGCCTCACCTGTCCCGGGGACAGTCTACGGAATATCTAACAATCCGGGATAGCAGCGGGAAACGGCACTGGAATAAGGGAATTTCCTGCAAAAAAAGGGAAGGTTGACAGCTATGAGTGGAACATCAACACATGGGGATGCTTAACCCTATCCCCAATTATGCAGCTATGATGCCCAAACAGACAAAAAGAGTTCCCATTGGCATAATAACGAATGGAATACAGGCACAGTTTCCGGCAAACAGTAGGAGAATGGGGAAAACCCAGTTGCTATTTACAAATTTAAGTACAGGTGTTTTTTTTTTGTTTTTTTCAAACCTGAAGAAATATGAGGATCAATTGAGATGGCCAAATTCTGTAACATATGGTAATATAATTTTTGATCATATACTAAAAGTAGACAAAACATTTGTTCCAGGGAAATGATAGAACACATTCTTGTGAGTTATGGAAAGAGATACATTGATGAAGGTAAGTTAGTTCCATGAGTGCATGTTTTTTTTTAAGTAATAATGTTAAAGCACCTGATTAAATAGTTGTAGGCAGGGATTGACAAAAGTAAAGACAGTGTATCTGGTCAAATGTGAGTAGCGGAAGCATTGGTGCCAAATTAGCTGTAATAGAGACAACCTGTTTGTTTATACCTATGCTGTGAAACACAGTTGCTGTTATGCAAATCTAAAATTATTGCCTAGAAGTTTAAACCTTCTCATGCACACTACGTAGGTCATTGTATCACCCAGTTTAAATCCAGGTTTGTGCCACATGCTTTGCTTGCAGCCAAGCCTCAGTGAAGGAGAAAAGGGCATAGGATGAGGGAGAAGGAGAGTGGCAGTGGTTGGGTCCCTAACTTGTAGAGTCATTTTATTCTAAAACTGACAGCATACTCCCTGGTGAATATACATTGTTAGGGCACACTTACGATATATCCAAATTTGCCCAAACTGCATAATTTTAAAGTGACTGGGTTTTTATTTAAGAACTCAGATAAAGGATGGTATTTAATTATGTTTTACTGAGAGTGGACCCACTGAAATTAATGAACCTAATTTAATCATGTTCATTTATTTAAGTGGGTCTGCTGTGAGTAAAAATTAGTTGACTACCACCCATAATTTCTTGTGTTCTTAATACTCATTCCTAGGCGAGACTTACTTTGAAATGAATGAAGAGAAGATATGCAGAGCAACAGCACAGATGCTCTTACAAAACGCAGTCAAATTCAGTCTCGCAGAATTCCAAGAAGTATGGCAGCAGAGCGTTCCTGAAGGAATGACGACTAGACAGGACCAGTTAAAGGTAAAATAAAGCCAGCAATTTACATCCATGGAAACGGCGTGTGTCAGGTGTAGAACTGGTGCTCTCAAGGCAGGAGAAAATGGAACTGCTCTGCAGGAGGAGACTCACTGTGTTTGAGTGGATCAGGCCAGAGTTCAAAACCCACCTTTTATGGTTTTTGTGAGGATGAGGAAAGGTGAGGGCTGGGTTCACCAACCCTGAGCTCTTCAAAGTAAGAGCAGGACAAAATGCAATGATTCTGTTTTCTATTTCTTCTTATTTCAAGGGGTTGGCGCTTGTGGACAAATCCTCCAGACCAGAAACCATTTCCTTCCTAAATGTTGAAGACTTACCAGAAGATAACCAGGAAAGATTTAACAGTTTATTTGCTATTAGGGAGAAATGGACAGAGGCTGATATAGCTCCATATATACAGTAAGTAATAAAAATACTGAATGTTACAGAATCACAAACATACCTCATTTTTTGTTTCACGGGGCACAATTCACCATGAACATCTTCATATCTTTTAATGGAATGGCTTCACTTTTTGCAGCATAAACTTAAGTCTCATTGCTTTCAAAGCTGTTCACAACCCAACTTTCTCATTTCCTTCTGCACCTTTTCCTGTTACTTTGTTCTTTGTTTCCACTGCTGTTCTTCAATCCAGAGTGTGTGGCATTTGATATGATATACTGTAATACTAGGGATAAATCAATAATTTGTTTTGGAGTGTTTTAAAAGTAACTGAAGCAAATGGTCCTTCTGTGTGGTCTTTGAAGTTGCATGAATAGTGCTTGTATTCTCTTTTTCAGGGACTTATGTTCAGAGAAGCAAACGATTGGTACGTTGCTGACAAAATATGCTCGTTCTTCAGTGCAGAATGGACTTAAAGTTTATAATTCTAGAAGACCCGTTTCATAAGAAGTAATACTGATTACTGACTGAAGAGAACATACAGATTGGTGGCTCAAATTTGGAATGGAGTTGTTGGGATTTTTGCAGCAATGGTTAAAATCCTAGGGATTTTCTGTTAATCATGTATCAATGTTGAAATGCATTGGAATTATTTTATAGATAAAACTGAACTGTTTTGAAAAGCTAAAAATGCAGTGTACAAATACTTTCTTTAAACGTTCTGCAACTGTCTCTAGTTAATATTAAAACCTTATTCATAAAGCTGTGTTGGAATCGGGGTAAAAATCTCTTGGACTGATGTATAGTAAAGCATATAGTAGTATCATATTGTAATATGTAGAGGGGCCAGTAACAAAACCTACTGAAAGAAGGAAATTGAGATATGCGTACATGTGGGGTGTTTATATATTTCTTGCCCATGGTACTGCAACCCATCTCAGTCACAGAAGGCATATTAAAATCAAATTTTAAAACCTGCTTGTGATACAGGGCTGGGGTGGGATGGGAGACATGTCACCATGCTATCTCTTTGGACTTGGCCAATGATATCTAAACAGGTCTTGCCCTATTTGTAGACTCCTTGCTGTGGATGAAAGACATTGGATGTGAGTCACAGCTAAAATTCTCCTGTGTTGCAGCATGTCACTCATGCCCTGTCACATTTTAAACACACTTTGCACTGTGGCAGCATGCTACAGGTAATGTTGACTCGCATGGTAAGTGCATTTGAACATGACAGGGTGTTAATATGTTTACATGGGTGACTTTACCAATGCCTCAATACATGTGTAATGATGATAGCTGTATGACAATTACAGGTTCAGGTGCAACTTGTTAGTGTTCCAGGGAGCAATGATGGGAGCGGGCTATTTCCTTCATTTCCTTATAGGAATGATCAGCCTCTGTGGGAAACAGGATGCTGAATTTGATGGGCCTTTCGTTTGACCCTGTATGTGAAGCAGGCAGGCTCCAGCAAAATGAGCGGAAGAGACCAATAGTGGGGTCCAACGTTCAAGCAGGTGGTTTCTGCATGTGCTGCAGAGGGAAATGAGGGGCAGATGGGGCTCATCAACCAGGGAAGGTAGGCCATCTAGGAGAAGGAAGACGCTGATCCTAAACCACTGGGTTAGATTGTGTACAGCTGTGTTAATGCAGCAATGGTTACCATGAAAAGGGGGAGGGTGTCAGCATTTTCATTCTCCTGTTGCTGGATGTGGGATTGTTACATGTCTGTGTTTACTTTCCATGCTTGGAAAGTGTGGGAACGGAAGCCAGTCCTATCTCTTCTGTTGGATTGTACTTTTGTACTATTTACTCTCTCTCTCTTGGAGAAGTTGTGAGAGGACGCCATGATTGCTTTGTCCTGAATATGTTGCTTAATAAATATAACTTAGATGTCACACCTCATCGCCTCAGCTTCCAGCCTTACTCTGCTGCTTGAGAGTGCACATATTTTCGGGTATGTGTCACTGCTGCGCACTGGGACTGAAGGGTTATGAACGTCCAGGGCTGCACTCCACAAGGAGAGGTTTGTCTCAGTTTGGGGGCTGTGCGGTGACACCCTCCAGCCCTTCCGACAGAAAAGGCTCAGGAGTAAACCCTACACAAATCCAGAGTGGAGCCCCTTAGACGGTGCAGATGTCAAATGTCTTGCTCTGCTTTCCTTTGGACCACATCAGTGAGGCCGAGAGGGGGGTTTTGTCGTCTGGGCAGCCTAGGACCTCCAGACAGACTGCCCATGCTTGCACCCCGGGAAGGTCACTTTGGTGCTGGTAGTGCAGCGGTTTGACTTCATCTCCATTGTATCACCAGACAATGCCAACAGCAACAGTCTGATCCAGCGAGACTCTTGGCGTTTGCATGGAAGGTTTATCATTATGAAGGGTCAATGGGAAGATTTCCTCTATGAAAAGGAAAGAGGCACAATCTGCTCAGAAGCACATCTGCAAATCAGATCATAAAATGCTTCTCTGGGAGGCGCTAGGCATGCTGCTATATTTTATTTTGTTTCTAAATGCAAACAAAAATAATAATTTTGTTTCCAAAGGGGACGCAGCCTGAGGTTGGTGTTTTCTGCAAAACGAAGAAGCCCATGCCGGAAAGTTAAAAACCTAGGCATGCTCCTTCTAACTTAAGGGAGAGCCACTAAAAAAAGCTCTGAAAATGAGAATTATTTCCCAACTGGCTCCTCCGCCCTTGCTTAGGACAGCCTGAGGGAGGAATTACTGCGCCTGCGCGCGAGCGCGAAACTCTTCCCTCAAACCACCTTCAAGCTTCCCAACGGGCGCGAGCCACTTCCCCAAAGCAAATCCAGGTCGCCGTGGTAACGGGGTCCACCAATAGGCGGCTTCGTTTCGCTCCGCATGCGCATTCTTCGCCTTCGCGCGTACGCGTGAGACGCGGCCTCTTGATTGGCGCGCTGACGAATCCGAAACGGGAGCGCGAGGGGAGAGGTGGGGTTTAACAAACCTACCGCGTCGACGACCTTCCCGCCCACTTTGGCGTGAGGTCAAAGGTTGCGAGCAAAATGGCGGCCGCCTCGCCAGAAGCGAGCCGCTGATTGTGTACTTGGAAGCGGGCCTAAGGGGAGCCGCGGGCCGTGGAGAGAGACGCCTCGCTTCCTGGGAGCCGCTGACCGCCCAGACTTCGCTCTCAGGCCCCGGCGGGACCTCTTCTAAACGGAGGCCCCCGAGCTGCAGCCGCTGCCTCCCTCGGACGTCGTTGTTCCTCACAGGACACCTACCGCCTCCCTCGCTTTTCATGAGGACTAGCGACGGTCCCCTCAACGAGGCAGCCGCGCCTGCTGAAGAATAACCCCTCGGGAGTTGAAGTTGCGGCAGCTCCTCGCCTCAGAACAAGCTCTCCTTCCTCGTACCAAATTCCTAGCTGGAGCTTCAGTAGCCCTCATGCCCACCTCATTTCTAGCAACACATCCCTGCCGTGAAACGGGAATCATCCTGGGAGACCCACAGGAAAAGCGCCCCCTTCCTAGACACGCTCCAAAAGGAAGCCGGCTCCATGCTGGCTAGATCCCTCTATACTTGACCAGAAGTCCTTACAGCTGCCAACGTTTAAACCAGATGCGACCTCGCAGATCAGGAGTCCCCTTGTTGGCATCGCCTTGGTAGAGAAAGGCTGTACCCAGCCCTGGCTCGAGGAAGGGTAACTACATACCCATAGGATAGTTTGGGGGCAGCTCGGCAGCAGCCTCGGCTGCTCCTAGGTCCAGATGCTGCCCCCGCAAATCGGGAAGGTTGCATACTGCATTACCCCGGGATTCCTTCTCCCAGATAGAAACCTAGTCAGTAACCAGTTTTTGTTCTAAAAGTGCGTCTGTCAAGTTAGCCAGGAATCACTGACAACTGCTGTCGCTTCTTTAGTAAATAGACTACAAGACAAGAGATCTCTCTTTTTTAAAAAAGTTGTAAATAGCTAAATGCCTACACAAAAAAGAGAGATGTATCTAGTTTGCTTTGGTAGGTCTTTAGAGGATTCAGAAGTTGTCATCTTTTAACCTGGGGTAGGAGAAGTTCTCTTTCTAGGAAGCATATCCTTACCTTACTAAATGTCAGTAAGTTGCACAACAGATACTAAGTTTGATACATATATAATTCTCCCTAATTTAAGAGGTCAGTATTAGTAGGTTAGGTCTCCCGAAATCTGAAGTATTCACACTCCGAAAATGCTTTATGGGCAATGTTGCCTCTTTGGACATTTCTTTGGACTATTCTAAAATTTTCTGGTGAAAGATCTTTAATGGGAAGAAATCAGCCAAGAAAGGAAGAATTAAAGTTACCTTTGAAAAGACTGCTAATGAGGCTTGTGATGTGTATTTGATTTTCATCAAGGTTCAGTACTACTATTTATGATGAACAGGAAGAAAGGAGACAAGGGGTTTGAGAGCCCAAGACCTTATAAATTATAAGTATCTGCTACTGTTTCTTTTCTTATGACCATAGGTTGATGTTTGTAAACTGAAGCAATAGGCCTTTGGAGTCCAGAAAGCTGCAGGTTGTTTAAAAAAACTACATTGTGATCAGGAAACTGGAGAGAAATTGAAGTTACATTTTAACAACTAGTTTGGTAATATAAATCAGTTCCATTAAAATGTTGGAAACTGCATTTTTTGTTTTTCCCTGATACATGTAAATATGTACAGTGCACTCCTAACTATTTCAACTTGAAAGTACGGTAAGTCTTGTTGAATTCAGTGAGGCCTACTTTCAGGTACATAGAATTAGACTTGTGACCTTAGTTCCTTAGGCATCAAAATTTGCTTGGAACATGAAAGTACCATGCATGATCCACAAGCAAGTTGAACTGAAATATTTTTATGTAATAACAACAACAGCAACAACAACAATGAAATACGTCTTCCATCGGCCTGGGTTGCCTCAGCCACTGTCAATTATTTCTATTGGTTTGAGGCTCTTTAAGAATATATTTTTTTATCTCAGCTTAACTTCTCATGTTATGCTATTGCATTGACTTCAGAATACTGTACTTTTGATACAGAAAATACTGGAAATTACCTACATTTGTTTCTGGTGATGGCTAATTGTGATGTGAAGTGCCAAACAAGCTGAGAACTATAGAGGAAAAAGGGTGCTAAAACTATTGCATGATTGTAGTTGGCCTCTTTGGGTTGGGATTGCTGGGGTGGATGTGTTTTAACTAGAATCCCACCCAGGAGAGAAGCTTCAGTTGTACATGTCTAGCTGCTTGAGTATATAATGGAATATTAGAAAATTTACTGATATTTCTGATCCCACAACTGATGTTATAAATTGTTTTCTATTAATGCAGATAATATTTTCTCAGTATATATAGAAGGAATCTTCTCTATTTGTTGCAGTGTTAAATGTGGTGCATACTCACACATACAATATAGGCGTTGTTTACTTGATACCAGCTTGATACTTGGCCACTTATGGAGGGTGCAATAATTCTTTATGATGAAGTGCCCAGGATGGCCTGTGTCTAAAATCTGTTATGTGACACATGAGTGCAGGCAGGCAGATGGTCTGATAACTTATTTTCTAGTTCTCTGCAAGCTTATACACATCAAGATCTTTATTTTGAATTTTTTCTTCCTTTCCCCAGCACAACCCACCAGGTGGTCTGTATCAACAACATAAATTTCCAGAGAAAATCTGTTGTTGTAAGTATACAGTGGTACCTCGGGTTACAGACGCTTCAGGTTACAGACTCCGCAAACCCAGAAATAGTACCTCAGGTTAAGAACTTTGCTTCAGGATAAGAGCAGAAATCGTGTGGTGGGGGCACAGCGGCAGCGGGAGGCCCCATTAGCTAAAGTGGTACCTCAGGTTAAGAACAGTTTCAGGTTAAAAATGGACCTCCAAAACGAATTAAGTTCTTAACCCAAGGTACCACTGTATTGAGGGGAAGGGACTATAGAGCTCAAAGGAAGAGTACATGTTTTGTGTACAGGAGGTCCCAGGCTCAGTCCCTAGAATCTCCAACAAAAAGAACCAGGTACCAGGTGATGAAAAATATTTTCTGCCCAAGACCCCAGAAAGCCACTGCTAGTTGGACCAGGCAGTCCTCAACTAGATGGACAAATAGCGTGACCTGGTATAAGCCAGCTTCCCATGTTCCTATTTAATTAACGTAGTGAAAGTCTACGTCATAAGCCTCTACTCTTCTGGCTATTGAGGGATTCACTTTTATAGTTGGTTAATTGTGTTTTCTTCATGCTATGTATGCCATGCATCCCATTTTGTGACAACAAACAACCTCACATTTCTGCTGTAATATTTACAAAATACCAATGGCCAGAGAGGTTATTCTAGAGGAGTTTTATCCTTTTCTTTAGCTGCCTAGCCTGTCCTTTTGTTCTTTACCATTAAGCTGGCCTGCAACTGCCACTGACTGACAATTTTACAGCTTGCTTGCAGAAGTGCTCAAAAGTTTCATGCTACCTCAATTGACATTAGTGAGAGTTTACCCTGAACTGAAACCTGTTAAAATGATTGCAATCACAACAGCAGGGAATTGTTTATGGAGCCAAAAAAGCCACACCTAAGATGTGTGAAGGATCAGCTTCACCGCCAAGACCTCAGGGATAGGTTAGGCATAAACCATTCAAATATTTAAAATATTAAAGCCAGATAAATTTTGCATTTACCCGTTGGTTATTTATTTGTTTAAGATGGGCTCAGGTTAATAAACAGTAAAATTTATTTCTGAAAATAAAATCTTCAAAACACATCATAAAAAGAAAATAATAAAATTCACTTAACATGCAATACCCACTTAAAAGAGAAAATATTGTGGTCTTTTCCAAAAGCTGCCACAGGGAGGCTCAGGTATGTTTCTGTTGAAAGGGAATTCCACAACTCCAAAACTATTATGGAGAAAACCTTGTTCCACTTTCTGGTATAATTGATCTTGAGATGGCTGGTTTTTGACAGGATTTTTGTGTTTGATCTTAATAGCCAGATTGGCTCTTAATAGGAAAAGTGTTTCCTGAGATATGAAACATCAAAGCCATTGCATAATTCTTTAATGGGGGGGGGGGGGCAGGGAGATGATCCCACTTCATCTACAAATTGTAGATACGGTAGTTTATAAATAGTGTTAAAAGTCAGTGCCATCACACTGAAAAGCTAAAAGGCAAAGGATACAGTTTTACTCAGGTTTTATATGATGATACTGTTCCACACCTTTTTATATAGGTCTATTTTTATTGATACTTACATAAAAAATGTGGAACGATATCAACATATAAGTACTGTTCCACACTTGACAGGGTAGGTTGCTGTGTGTTGAAAGCCGTT